TGTGTGTGTGTGTGTGTGTGTGTGTGTGTGTGTGTGTGTGTGTGTGTGTGTGTGTGTGTGTGTGTGTGTGTGTGTGTGTGTATGGAGGGGGGGTATTAACCTAAATACAAGGCATGATGTAGAGTATGGTAATAGCTATTTTTTATGATATATAATGAGACAAATAGATTTAATATTTGATGATGAGAAGTTTCTAGTTTGTTTGATATTAGATCAATTAAAGATTTATTGTCTATCTTTATCCTACACAGTAAATCTGCAACAAATGAGCACTGGTATATGGATATATCAAGGACAGGCAGACAGACAGACAGATTTATGGATAGACAGACAGACAGACAGATAGATGGATAGATAGATAAATAGACAAACAGACAGATAGATAGATAGATGGATAGATAGATAGACAAACAGACAGACAGACAGATAGATAGACAGGTAGACAGACAGACAAAGAGATAGGTGAATAGACAAACAGACTGATAGATAGTCGGGCAGGCAGACAGATGGGTAGGTAGACAGATAGATAGATAGACAGGTAGACAGACAAACAGACAGATAGATAGATAGTCGGGCAGACAGACAGACAGACAGACACACAGATAGATAGATAGACAGACAAACAGACAGACAGACAGCTAGATAAACAGACAGACAGACAGATAGAAGGATAGATTACACATAAACACCTTCAGTGAAACTACCAGTCACCCTTGAGATGATAACATCTCTCATCATCACGCTGGTGACCTCCTGTCAGTCTCCACAGTGCACAGCTACAGGTTAGCGGAGTTGAAGGGTGTTTCCAAACTGCAGTGAAACTAATCTTGGCTCCCTGTGCTCCCCTGCGGACCAGACATGCTCTCACACACCCATTATTACCATGTTATTTCTGGCTTCACGGAATCTGACAACTGCCTCGGTCATGTCAGCGGGCCTACACGAACCTACAGGCTCCATCCACCGGGAGGGGAGGGACAGGTGCTGGCTGTGCTCCCATTAATGACAACATGGCTGTTCTCGTTCTGTTCCTATGAAGGTGAACTTCAAAGTGGCGGTAGCTACATGCTGAGTCATGTTGTCGGCGGAGCTACGATGGACGTACCGTGTGTTAGCAGCGAGGAGTGTAGCCGAGGGTCCAGCTGGGTGGAGGGACGGTGAGTTAGCGGCTCCTCTGGGATTAACTCCCCGCTTCTGTCCTCAGTGACTCCGTGCTCGTCTCCGCCCTGACACCAGCCCGGCGCCGCTGTGGGTCTCTGCGGCCTCACCTCCCCCCCGAGATACCCCCGCCGGGTGTAGCAGACCGGACCACTCCGCCCTGTTTACCCCCCTGCGTCCTGCTCTTTGACAGCTGCACGTCCTACGTCACCATCCGCCGGGAGGGGGGGAAAAATAGAGCCACATTCTGGAACATGTTTGGTGACGTCACCGGGCCCCTCCCCGCCCCCCCACTGTCCGCCTGTTGCTGTGAGATAAATAAATGATAAAGATGATACATTTGTCTTCAGGCTTCAGGGGCTTCTTTTATCAAATTAAGTTGTTAACGGATAAATAAAGTTATTTGAACCGACATGACATGTTTTTGGGTCGATGACAAATAAAGCTTCGAAAAAAGATATTTTAAAAAAGTATTTTCAAGATAAATGTTACACATATAGAACAATGTAATTAAACAAGTTTTTGTTTAAATTATTTTTTAATTTCCTTTCCAATGGAATTTATATATATCTTATCTGAAAACATAACATGGAATTTGGGGGGTTTCAGAAGCCAAAAATAAGAATATTATTATTTAACTTTACTGCAATTGTATCTAATTAAATAGGTTTTATAGAATAAAGCAACAGGTCAAGAATGGATATAATTAATTTGAAAAGGAAATGTCTTTTCATTGACCCATTTACCTTTAGAGCATACCAAGTCTTACATTAACCAGAGACATGTATACTTTTAGTTTACTGTGATTCATCAGGGAATTCACTGGTCAGGATCACATGATGAGCTCATGATGTACAGTCATAGTTCTTTGGACCGTTAAGTAGTGTTAACTACGGACAATCCTGTAAATATACTTTGTGGTCAGTTCATTACCATCTGGTGGTGGAGTAAAGCTACAGCAGGAAATGTGCACAGGCAGATAAACTGTAATGTCCTTTATAATGATTGGGAGGTGCACATGAATCGAATCATGAAATCCAACAAAACAGTACTGGGAAAATCACTCTATGAAATGCATATGTACAAAGTGTACAGTCTAGAATTTACTCTAAAGTTACTTTGATTTAAGTATTTCTTTGCGGATTGCTAATAATTGTATTTTCTCCAAGTCTTTTCTTCATTTGGTATGCAGATGATAAACTTTTTAAATGCTGAAACAGTTCAAGAATGATCACCATTGAAAAGGTTTGTTTGAACTTTTTATTGATATTACTGACATGTCAACATCACAGGTTATCAGAAGGTTGTTGGGAATGTGTTGTATTCATGATAACTTTTGGAATGTGTGATGATGTTTTGCCCTTTAGTATTCCTCTCCTTCTTCATCCTCATCTCCCAAGCTGTCAGTGCCAACTTCTTCATAATCCTTCTCCAGGGCAGCCATGTCTTCTCTGGCCTCTGAGAACTCCCCCTCTTCCATTCCCTCCCCAACATACCAGTGGACAAAGGCCCTCTTGGCGTACATGAGGTCAAACTTGTGATC